AACTGCATATCCAGTACAGGGTCACTGTGACCCCACTGGAAGCATAGGGCTCAGATATGGGATTCCCACATTGCAAAAAATGAAAATCTAATCAAGTATAATTTTCTTATATTTAAAAAAAATTCTAATTTCATTAAGAAACTAACAACACATCTCATAAATAAGATTAATTTGCTTGCATCTAGGTATACTGTCTTATTTTGGGAAATCTTCCCAAGTGCAGTTTTCTTACAGATAATTTTGCCAGTTTTATCTTGACTCAACAGAGAAACAGTTTATCTTACATTTGAAAGGCAATTTTTTGCAGTGCAGGATTGGATGCCAGCTCATTATGAGTTTTAGACTCACACACAATCACACAGTATTGGAAATTCAGAGATACCGGTTCCTCTAACTGCATGCTTTTGGCCTGTGGGGAAAAAAACAGAACACACAGTGCACATTAACACTTATGTTAAAGATGATTTCAATTCGGCTGTTTCTGGACTACAGCTAAATGGTCAAATATTCCTGACAGACTTCAAAATATCTAATTTAATTACAGAGCAAATAAATGAAAGAAAAAAGTAAAAGGAGAACATTCTGCATTTAATACCTGTAAGTAACCATGTGAATTATGGTAACAGATTAAAATAACAATATTAATCTTAATTGTGCCAAAACGATTTCCACTACCAGTGTCAGCATGAGGAAGGTTAATTATCTGATCTCTCGCGTTGCCGTGGTGACTGATGACCAGCACTGCAGCCACAGGTAGCGCAGATAATACAGCCCAGCGAGCTTTGATTAGTTCACTGCTACAGGGTCACCGATGGTTGACTACGATTGGTCATTAAATTCCCTATTTCTGTTTTTAACCAGTTTTTTTTGTGAACTGGAATTCATCCTTATCTAGTGCCGGCAATACCTTGTTTTTGTTTTGTGACTGTATGTAACTAAAAGAACATTACTGGTCTCAAATCAGGGGCACACTCCTGTAGACGTGGGTGGCCATTAACAACAGCCTTAAAAATCTCTCTCAGCCAGACCTCCAAACCCTCGGCTCCAGGTAAGCATCTTAGCAAGCTGACCTCATGATTCATATCTAGAATAGACAATACTGCAGAAAACGGCATGTATATAATCTACATTATATTATAGAGATAACACAGAGGTCTCATACCCCTAGGATCAGGTGGCCAGTTCCCTCTGCTGCCTCTGTGTGTTTGCATGTTCTCTTTGTCTATACATGATTTTCCTCCAAGTTCTCGAGTTTCCTCCTGCAGTCTGAAAACATGCAGCTCGGTGTCTCTGAATTGGCCATAGCTTATAACTGTGCGAATGAGCGTGTGTCCAACAACGGCCAGGCAGGATGTCCGCTGCCTTGTGTGCTCCAGGCTCACTGTGTCCCTGTACAGGATGAGCAGCAGGGACAGAATGTGGGGATGAAGGGGTGAACAACCCCAGGCCCTGTACTCTAGGGGGCCCCCTGCTGGTCCTGACGTTTTTAGTGACAAAACACATAGATCACTACAAAACATTTAAATGTCAATTTTGGTTGAAATATATAATAATATATCTTAAATTTGGCTAATCGATCTGCCCGTGTGATACCTCCCACTGATCAGCGAATTTGCTGGCATACCACGCTTTGATTAGCATATTATTAAAGTTCCATCATTTTTACTTCCCTCTCGTTTCTCTTTTGGCTCCAAAAAATAACTGAAAAGCCCCCTTAGGGCCCCCCTACCCATCTCAGCCTGGGCCCCCCAGGGAAGTTAGTTCACCTCTGATGATCGATTAGGGAGGATGACTGGATGGATAACAGACGGCAGTTTTGCTAAGGATTCCTGATATGTCACATGAAACGTCAGAAGCTCTGGCAGTGATAAATGTAAACCATGCACGCTTAACACGACTCCGCTTAACACGACTCCTGTATGTTCTATCGCAGGATGCAGCGGCACACGAATCAACGTCAGGTTGAGTGCCTCAGGTTCGAGGGCCGTAAGATGTCACGCATAAGCGAAATGCACAGTCTCATCTCTCAGATCGCATCCGTGTTGCAGTGGTTACAGTGGTTATGTAATGCTGTTTCAGAGCATAGTGGGGGGAGGGGGGGGGGGGGAAAGGGGGGGATGGCAGCTGTTTCCACACCAGCAATGCTGCGTATAGAGCCCACTGTCTGCCAGCACTTCTATGCTCGGTCCACTGCCCCTCCCCGGGTGATCTCTTAAGCACACCCAGCCATAAGAGCCCCATGCTTCTCCTTAAATCCACCCCCGGTGTCCCCTTCCCGAATATCAGAGATCCCCTTTAATAAAGACAGAATTCCAGCCAAAACTGACCTGCTGGAGACTTCAGCCTTTTCTTTTCCTTACCCACAATCCCAAGTTTCTGACGCAACCAGACATCGCCCCAAACTGTCAGTGTCCACCAAACTGGAATTAGAGACTGGAGGTGGCCCGTTTGCATGAAGTTGAAACAATGAGCAATGTCTCTGCTCGGCTAGGGAGTCTTGTCATGTGTGTCAAAAGATATGGCGTAATAACCGAAACTGTAGCATTCGTCATGGATGCTTTGCATTGACTCTGGATGGTATTTTCAACTGCTTATCTACTAAAACAGCTATTTGGTGGGATGTGTGTTTGTTTGTGTGTACATGCACAGACTTTTGTAATGGAAACCATAATTATCTACACTTTGAACAGAATGTACTAATATTAACAGGAGCTAAAGTCAGCCTTATAGACTAATGAGTCAAAATATAAAATATCTATGTCAAAAATGTGTGTTTCTAAGACACACAGAAGGTGAATTGTGCCTGTGTGTCAGGATTGGAGACGTCTGTCTCAGTGTCTGTGGTTAGGGTTAGGGTTAGGGTTAGGTTTATGATATGTGTGTAAGCCTGGGATTTACTTTGCGCTACACAGCACAGGTTTGCATGCGGTCTCCTGTCCTTAGTGACATTACATCACATTTAATTATATTGATTTATTTTGCACCAATTCAAGTCACAGCTAGGCAGGTAACACATTACCGACAACCTTCAAAACGGACCCTGAAAATAGACAGAAAACAAAAACACAGTTAAATGGAGGCCGATGAATCATCACTTAGTGACATCAGGGTGAAGCCCCCCCCCCGCCAACTGGACCTCCCCCGGCAGCTGAACAGCAGGCCAGGTTGTGAGAGGCAGCGATTGATGAAGGTTCTCTGTTCAGTCGCTTCTGAAGCTCATTGATCCACAATGTACACGAAATATAAACCGATATCTCATCCAGGATTATATTACAATTACGACCACGAAGCATTGAGGCAGATAGCGACAATAAAACTGGCATAAAATAGGAAAGATGGTAATGATGATTAAGAATGACTGATAAGCAATACAGCTCCTATTGTTTCCTTTGCCTTTTATTTTTAAATTGTATTTTAGTACACAGGACCTTAGGATCACGTTATCGACATGTATCACATTTCTGTTTGCAAATTCTAACCGACATCTTTCCCTAAATTCTTCAACCGTGATATAAAAAAAACAATATTAAAGTCAATTGGCAAGGTCATCAGAGAGTGAATAAGTACATCTAGCCACCAGTTTACATAGGCTATAATATCAGCCAATCATAAGCGATGTTGTTGGGACTACAGTTCTTATTAGCCAATAAGGATGCTGTACTCTGTAATGCTCCCACTAACAGTGCTGGCTTGATCTGTGGGTATCCACACTACAGTGCTGTCACAGCCCTCACCAACCTAGAGGCAGCCAATCAAATATTCCCATTTCTATCAAGAAGAGGAGAAGTGCAATGCATTTAAACTAAGGCCACAGAACAGTGAGGGGAAGAGCTGAAGTGGTAAACCAGGGTGGGGGGGAGGGCGAGGTTCAGACAGCCCAGAGCTTTACCAAGCTTTGAGTGTCACTCACAGCAGGAACAGAGCTGCCAACTTTGCTCAACTGGCTGGCATGACATCATCAGTTTGAGACGAGTCTGCACACTCGTTTACATGTATGTCACAGATTCATTACCTTGTAAACAGTCTGCAGTATTTGCAAACTACCCCAACACTTTTGATGTAGCTAATTTTAGGTTTAGAGTGGAACGTATATAGGTGTGCCGTGAGATTTCTCACGTAAGGGTGAGCGTCATGCCAGATGCGTGAGAGTTGGGGGCCCTGCAAGTATGGGCAGCTGGACAAAACACCCGGAAGCGACTGCATAAGCAGACTGAGCACCCGACAGAGAGGTTCATCATACGATGGAAATAAGAGTGCGCGTCACTGACGTTTATACATACGGCCTGTGTCTGTGTGCATGTCTATGATCCGATCCTAAGTCAAATATTAGCAACAGGGACATCGTTCTCTGTTAAATATTCATGGAATACCTCCTATGGATGACTTCTTTGAACCTCTTTGAGCTTCTCCCCTCAGCTAGGCACTACAGACGAAGGAGCGTCATAACAGACAGTTTCTTTTGTGAATATCTCACTGTACTGATTGAACTGTTTTGTACATATCACAGTAATTCCAGCAGTCCTTGCACTGACATGCACTCTTGCACTTTTTATACATTTATCAACAACACATCCACATTGTATATGTGAACTAGATTGTATGACCAATGTCTTGTCTTGTCTTAACTGTGCCTGCACCTATGTATGTGAGCCACTGACAGCTGAGGACAAATTCTCGATCTGGGTGAATATACTTGGCTGAATGAAAAGATTCCGATTCTGGTGATGATGTATGTGATTGGCCAGCATTAGGCGCTACTGAGACTCCCAGATTCCGATTCTGGTGATGATGTGTGTGATTGGCCAGCATTAGGCGCTACTGAGACTCCCAGATTCCGATTCTGGGTGATTATGTGTGTGATTGGCCAGCATTAGGCGCTACTGAGACTCCCAGATTCCGATTCTGGGTGATTATGTGTGTGATTGGCCAGCATTAGGCACTACTGAGACTCCCAGATTGTGATTCACACAGGAAATAAGATGTAGGGGGTGAGGACTTACCTTCACCCTTTGGAAAAAAAGGTTTCCCAAAACCCCCTCGTCTCGGTCGAGATCCTGCAAAGCTCTGCTTCTAAAAGGGAGCCCCTGGAAAAGAGAGATACAGGAAAAAGTCAGGCATTGTGGCTCTAGTACATTGTATCATTTCCTGTTAAAGATTAATTTACAGCTATGGTCTTATTTTAATACCCATAAAAATGACTTGCTAGGCTTTTATTTTGATACCAGACAGGCAAATTAAACAGCTCTCTACTCTACCTGAAGACTCATGGATAGAAATTAGTGATATATTTTTCTTTCGTCTTCTGTGCAGCAAGACTAATGTGCCATGGTTCTGGAGCCCTGAACACTATGCCCTTGACCTATGAGAACATTTCACCTACAGGAAATTCAATCAGTTGGAAACAAATATATTTTAATTTATAAAAAGCTACATATGATATATTTAGCCGTAAATCATGCAGCTGCCAGTTTCCCAAAGATCATCGCTTATCCCTTCCTTAGGGACACTCTCAGGGAATCACAGCACTGATGCAAACGTGGGAGAACACGACAAGAGCATAGTGTGATTACTGCATAGCGTCCATTCAAATTTCTGAAACACTGTGGTGTTCCCACAGAAGGGTCACCATTGTTTTCTCAAGAAGTCAGTTCTACTGAAAAGGTCTGGTTGCTCCACATTTGTGCCATTAACTTTCATATATCATAACGTCAACTGATAATCGAAGCAGTTCCCTACGAGATCGCCAAGTTATCATCATTCTGATGACACAATGTATTACAGCTAGTTAAAAATCCATATGGAGCAACATTTGAATGCTGGTAAAAATGAGTCCCTTCATATTATGTAACTGCTGTAGGTCTAAGATGGGCGGTAAAGTTCAATAAAGCACATCTCTTTAATAAAAAGATGATTTATCAGATGATTTCGTCAACTGATGAGAAAATGAAACAATATGTATGTCTTTCAGTTCAGGAAGAAGAAGAAATATTTCCCTGATTAAATTATGGCATTTCTTTTGGGGGTCATTTGAGGAAAATGGGGCTGTCAAATCTTAAAGTAATTATCTGGTAAAATAGAATAATAAATCATTATATATTAAGAAGCATAGCAAAAGGGAAAGAAAAACCACATGCTAAGCCTTGATGTCTATATGATTGTATTCCCTGGCCTTCGGGGAACACGTATGGTGTCCGCTGTGGTTTCCATTGCTACTGCAGATATATTGGAATGTGCAGCAATAAGTCAAAAACCATCTGCCAAATCTTTTTCAAACTTTACATAGGTATTGCATGGGTGAGGATCTAAAACAGATTGCCCCAAAACTGAAGCAATGCAGCAGAGTGATGACCCTTGATTTCCTTAAGACAATACCTCAAAAAGTTTTTGATGGATTTTTTCAAACTTTGCAGGGGCGTTGCACAAATCCCTACCTGAAACTAATTAAATTTTGAAACAGATTGACCCAAAATTTTAGTTTGCTGCTTAGTGATGGCAAAGGGAAGGGTGAAAGCAGATGACATTTGACAGTGTGAATGTGATAAATCAAAACTTATTTGATGGATCTTATTACTGTTTCACAAAAACTTTATATAGATGAAGATCTACTCCTGGTTTCATTTTCAGACAAGTTGCCCCAAAAGAGAAGCAGCAGATTTGTCTGGCAGAAGGAAGAAAACAGCAGTTGCAGAAGTCATTTGGTTTTATGAACACAGTAACTCTTAAAGTATTATATTGATCTTTTTAAACCCTTGCAGGCACATTGTAGGGGTAATAAATTGGAAATGGTTAAATTCTGAGAGATCGCTCTAAAACTGATGCAGGGTCACATAGTGATGGCAAAAAAAATGGCAATTTCAGACATTTGATCCTGTTGGCACAATGACTCAAATATTTTTCAACCTTGGCAGACATGTTGTAGGGTTGACCTGATCAAATTTTGAGACAAATGGCCTTAAAACAGAAGCAGTTCTGCATATGGACAGCAAAGAGACGGCCATCCTGCACTTGATCTTGTCAGCACGATAATACAGAAATGATTTTGCCAGTCTTCTCCAAACTTTGCAGGCACATTGTTTGGTTAACAGTCTAGATCTGTTCAAATTCTGAGACAAATCTCAGCATAATTTAAGCAACAGTGATTAGTGACAGCAAAGAGAAGGATGGGATGATTAGATGCTTATCCTCATGAACAGGATTAGTCTATTTTATCATTATATACTCTATTTACCTTATCTGATCTTATTACACGTCACCAAAATGAATGTGGATGAAAATCTACATCTAAAAATGTACACTGAATCAGATCCAAAACTATAACTGCCATGACAGAGGGCAGCATAATTGGAACTGGCTGTAGGGCAGCCAAGAGTGAAAATATAGCCACCAATTTTTTTTTTTAGTCAGTGCATTATGTCTTTATAATTATTCTAAAATAAACCCTTCTATGGGTATGTGTGTCCAAACTTTTGACTGATACTGTATTAGATCACACATACAGGTCTTGTAGGTATACATACTGTATCCCCAGTTACCAAACATAATATGAGGCCGAAAGATGTTCTTTCATATTTCCTTTCTACAGAAGAGGAGAAGAGAATTCTCAGAATAATACTATTTCACGGGATAATACAAACACTCAACCTTGACAGGTGTACTTCAGAAAGCTCATGAATAGTGATTGTCTAACACAAAGCCTCCTCACTAAGCGTGTTATAATTCAGGTGAAATGCGTGGGATCAGACTGCATCCAACAACAAAAACAACCTTTCTTAGATACTTAATCCAATGCTGTTCAGCTCACTTCCACAAGAAACACAAACCAGCATCTAAGGAGGATATTACTGGTAAGTGGATCTTGCCCCTCTCCACTATCTACTGAGTAACGTCAGTCAGTACAGGGAACAAGAAAACCCAGAGTCTCCCTGCATCAGGAATCTAACCATTTCCAAGAAAGCAAGCGCCTTGCACATTGGGAAGAGGACATGTGCAGCATTCCGCTGTCGACGTGACAACGGTGTGAACGCGTCACCTGAAATGTCATCCCCATCGCAGTAATGAGAGCCCAGGCCTCTGGCCACAAAGGGCCTCCTGTCCGGAGGGCAGCTAAGACTCTGGCAGTAGATCAGAAATGGGCTCTTTTTTGGATTTCACAGACAGCCACTGATGAGGCAACTAAAGAAAACGGCCAAAGACAGGCAGTCCTCTGACAACGGGCTTTGAGAAAAACTGTTGCCTGGTGGAAGGAGATAAAAAAAAAAAAAAATCTGGCTAATTCACCACGACTCAGATGTTTAGTTTCCAGCGCCGTCGGAATGGGATCCGGCTTAAAACTAACATCGGCTGAAATCCTGCCCCTCTTCATGAATAGGGGGCTGGTGCTGGGGGCTACTGCAGGTTGAGCACAGTGCGGGGAGTGATTACAGTGCTTAAGCAAAAGTCTTAGGTATTCAAAGAAAATGATATTTAAATTATCTTCATGTTGTTGTAAAACTATGATGCTATATCTGTCAAAGCGTGTCAGCTTAGCCATTTCAGAACCTCTGCTAAAATAACTCCAGGAATTGCACATAACATCCAATACGCCCATGTATTTTTTTTCACTCAACCACTGGCATATTTGTCTAATCGATACCTCATTTACTTTTAAAAACTAATTTAATTAATTAATTAAGTGAGCTGGTTGTGTAAAATAAAAAAAATACATGGAACGGCTGAGGTGCCCCTGAGGAGAGGTTTGGGAACTGAAGTTCCTCTAGTCATCCAACAAGACATCAGTAATCTTTTGGAGAACAGAAGAAATTCTTCTTTGTTTTTACTGTGGCAATCTAAATTTGCATATCTTTTAAAATCAAATCATGTTTTTTTTGTTCCGAGCACATATACACTTACTATACTGATAAATAGTTTAAACATTTACTTTGACTGCCTAAGACTTTTGCACAGTACTGTACACGGCATTCATGATGCTTGCAACTCTTTTGTACAAAGTATTAATAATTCATTCTAGTGTGAAATTCCACCACAGTTTGTATCTTGGTCATGTGATTTTCCTACATTCCATATAAATCTTTATCCTAGCGACAGTAAGATACGAAATATATATCAACTCAATTCTGTTGCGGTTGTGTACGAAGACGTCAAAAAAATGCTTTTACACAGTGTCCGCTATGTTGGGGGGGGGGGACTTGCTTTCCTCTTGTGGTCCAAAGACATGCAGTTAGATGACTTGCCATTTCTAAGGTGTCCACTGAGTGTGTTTATTTGGACTGGCGTCCTGCCTCACGCTCTATGCAGCCTGTAATAGACTCTATGCCCCCCTGTGACCTTGTCCAGAATAAGCAGGAAGATAGATGATATCAAAGCCAGCCAAGGTAAATCTAACGTGGTATAAAGAGAAATTTTCTTATATATATATATATGATGTTTGTTGTTGCATCATGCATCATTGCGATTTCACATATATCTGTTAAGTAACAGTGAACAGAATAACCTGGTGTGTGAATAAAGGTGAACGGGGTGGGGGATATAAACTTTTGGGAGAATTGAAGGGGCTGTCACATATTGTGAGATTTTAATACATCAGGTATTCAACCCAAAATCAGTGGTGGGCACAGGTAACCGAAAAGTTAGCTTTGATAACTGCTAATCCAATAACGTAATCCAAGTTATCCGGCTAAGCAGGAAATCCAGTTTTGTGATCCAGGTTACTGTTCTCTGCATAGTTCAGGGTAGCCCACTTTGAACTGACTTTATCTTCGTTCGCTTACATTTAGCCCAGACTACCTTAAATCCGTTTAGGAGTTATTGACCAATCAAGTTCTGTTTACATGTAGTCAGCCAACAGCGTGTCAGATAGACTGTTGCAGATATAACAGGAACAAATTATGTATGATTTTAGGTTTTGCAAATGTTTTTTGCAATAAGGCTTCCTTTTGGCTTGTAAATGGTAGTAACTCATTGATAAGAAAACTGTGTTATAATTAAAAAAAAAAAAAAGAAAACTGTGTTATAACTTGTTTAAAATTGTCTATTAATAATTTACAACCTAATTAATAACCGGATTATAAACCATTCAGAAACTCTT